TCTCTGCATAGCTTAAGTATTTAGCCCTCCAACCTTGGATCTTACTTGTAAGTCGTTCAATTAGAGGTCTACAAGCTTTAATAGTGAGCATTCCTGGAATAAGGGGAAGACCAAGGTATCTATCTTGTAAAGACCCTAGTTTATACCCTGCTCTATTAGCCATGTCCTGCTGCCACTCTGCATGGATACCACCACAGTACAAATGTACAATTCACATTTTGATGGATTTGAAGCCAAGCCAGACAGATTTCTAAACTTGTCAATGACCCTTTGTATGCATTGAATCCCATAGTTAGAACCATCCGAGAAAAGCAGCAGATCATCAGCAAAAATCAAATTAGTCAGCCCTAATCTCTTGCACATTGGATGAAATGGTAGATTTTATTCTGTTACTGATTTTGGATTAAGCAAGAGAAAACTTCCATTGAAATGGCAAACAAATAGAAGACAGAGGGTCCCCTTGTCGTAACCCTTTCTGAGCAGCAAAGTAACCCACCAACCCCCCCCCCCCCATTAAATCCAACACTGAATCTTGGAGTTGTAATGCACATTCTATTCCAACCAACAAACTCAGAAGGTAAGTTCATAGCTTCTAAAACTGTTAACAAAAAGCTCCAATCCACTGAATCGAAAGCTTTCATCAAATCAATCTTAACAAGACTATGGGTGAGATTCCTACTCTATTTTACTTTTGGACTAGCTCATGTACTAGAAGAATGGTCTCACTAATAAGACAACCCTTAACAAATGATGTCTGGTTCTCACTAATAACATATGGCTGCAAATTTCTAAACCTCATTGCAATTATCTTCGTAATGCATTTGTAAAGTATGTTGCAACAAGCAATTAGACGAGAAAGTTCCATATCTCCAGGACTCTTTACTTTAGGAACAAGAGCAAGAACAATGGAGCTTACCTCAATTGGGATCACATAATTCTTAAAACAGAATTGCATAGCTGCAATAATTCAGGTGTTGGGCTCTTATCCTCATTCATACCAAAAATTGTCTGCCTAATCTCTTCCTTTGTCATTGGACTACACAGATCCCTACCTCATCCAAGAGAAAGCTCCCTCATAAGAAGTTGTCTATAGAACTCAACTGGCCTAGCATCAACTGAAGCATCCTTTGTATCCTCAACTATATTTCCATGCTCCTCATACAATGAACATATCATATTCCTTTTGTCTGCTTTTAACTGATATGTGAAAATAAGCAGTATTAGAATCCCCCTCTTTCAACCACCTTTTCTCTAGATTTTTGCCTGAGAAATGACTCTTCAGCTTCTTTGAGAACTCTAAGCACATATGACAGCTTCTGCTCTACTTCAAAAGTACTAGAGGAAGGTGTAGAATATGCTTCAGCTTCTGCCAGACAGACTTCATCTTGTTTTAACCTCACCATTTCCCTAAGATCATAGAATTCCTCTCTATTAAGCTTTTTCAGCATCCCTTTTAAAATCTTCAACTTCCTACAGACTTGCACCAAAAGCAAACCCGCAACTTCACTACTCCAAGCTTCACAAAAATATAATGAAAGATGGATGATTAGTCCATAACTTGAAAAACTTAAAAGGCTTCGGAAGAGATTTAACGGAGCTATTTGTATCCACATAAATGGAACAATGATCCGACATTGAAGGTTCTAATAGCCTACCACACTAGAAGAACATTTATCAAGCCATTTGACATTGATAAAGGTCTTATCCAACCTCCTGGATATGGGATTCCTAGCTTGCTTATTGATCCACATGAATCAAGGGCTAGAGGTTGTATGTTCCTCAGTCTCCAGATCAAACTGCCACTGCTTAAAGTCTGTCATACTACTTTGATACCAAATGATAGTAACCCGCTTATTTGTATTTCTTACGATTTACGTAACCTGTAATTTAGAAAGGGGATTTAGGGATTGAGAATAGAAATTAGGGATTAGGAGAAGAATTGGGGATTTGGGGAAGAACGACCGAGGCCTTTGAGGAAGAAAGACAGACGAGGTTGAGAGAGAATAAAATAGGGTTTGGGAGATAATTGTTTTACTGATTTCTGCTTAATTGAACAAAAGACCCATAATACATATTTATAGCTAAATACTGGAATAAACCTGATAAATGACCTAATACGACTCGAATACTACTAACCCTAAGATTAATCATCCTACCATAATTACTGTATATAGCAGGCATATTAGATGCTTCACTAGGATCCCCCTATCACTACAAAAAAGGCAGTCAGTTGTGATGAAAACTTACCGACGACTTATAAAATGCGTACAAAAATATCACTAATTTTGACGGCAAACAATTTGCGTCCTTAATAATGAAATTATTCCTGACCGAGGTGAATTTTTGTCAATAATTGTATTTTCTCGTCAGTAAAATGTATTTTGGACCGATTTAAATTTTCTACACTCATTATTTTTGACGATTTCAAATTTCACGTTACAAATAATCATCATTACTGACCAATACAAAAAAGTCTTTAGAAAAAATAAGTATTGTTGACGTCAAAATATTGCTTGTAAAAAAAATTGACGACATCAACAGCTCGTCATAATTAAGTGGTCAGAAAAAAATAATTTTGACACCATTAAAAGTTCGTCAGTACTAATTGGGCAGAAAAAACTATTTGTTACACCATTAACAGTTCGTCAGTACTAATTAGTCAGGAAAAAAACATTTGTTACGCCATTAATAGTTCGTCGGTACGGTTTGGTAAGAAAAAAAAAATTTGTCACGCCATTAACAGTTCGTCGGTACGTTTTAGTCAGGAAAAAAAAAATTTTGACGCCGTAAGCATTTCTTCTGTACCATTTAGGTCAGGAAAAAATAATTTTTACACTGTAGAAATTTCGTCAGTACTGTTTAGTAAGGAAAACATCATTTTTGACGCCATAAACATGTCGTCGGCATTAAATGGTCAGAACAAATAAATTTTGTACACCATTCACAATTCTTCAGTACTGTTTGGTTACAAAATTGAAACCTTTATTACAAAATGATTGTGAGGTAGTTATGAAAATCGGACAAGCATATGACATTTTCTAGAAATGATTATTGAATCGATAAAAAACACATCTTCTTTAAGTAATTATAATAAGCACTATTCTAAGAAAAATAGAAATTAGGTAATATTTATTCCGATAGACAAAGACCAAATTAGTCCTACTTAATCTTCGAACTCTGCTCTAGTCCAGTTTATGAGAACATCTCCCGTAGTTTGGAGTACCCCAGGATCATCAATTAAAATATTGTCTTCTTGATAGGCATCTTCTAGTGCCCCTTCTCCTTCCGTATTAGAAGGCATCGCGAACAAATTTCTTGGTCGCGTTTTAACCACAATTTCCCAATTTGGATCTCTCAAAGAATGCACTTAATAAACTTGAATTGCTTGACTAGACGTCTGGGACCTGAAATATGACAAAGTAGCACAACCCAGCGTAAAACAGGCCAAAAATACACGACTACTAGCCGCAAACGGATAAGAACTAAGGGTGCAAACATGTGCAAATACATCATTATCAGAAACTTCTAGGATGCATCATAGAGGCACAAACACGTGAATCATATTGGCTATTAGACATCAACACATGAACACTCATAACAGCAACATGGACAACCACCACGGATGACACTCGAGAGCAGCTAAATCGGACAGAGGAAGAATCTACCTTCTGTCCGCCAACCAACCTAGACTCTACTCGACTACTCATGCATAAAATTGAAGACATCAGAATCAAGACCGAGCAATCTAGGTCATCACCTGGATATGTAATATGAAAAAACAAATCACATACTTTCAACCAGTGGGGTCAGGACAAAATTTTATACAAAATATGTGCATACTCATACTCTCAATCCCTATCGTCTCTTCACCATCACTGCAGCCTCTAAATGATAGAGTTCACATATCGCGTGTTACCACTAACTTGTTAGAAGGACTTGATTGGGTTCAAAAACTTCAAATGCAAATGGCTATGGTCCAGGACATGGGGAACATGATTTACTGGTGGTGGTAACATTCATGACACAAGGTTCCACAGTTCCAAATCCAGCACAACAACATTCAATCAAACTAATAACTTTCTCTCAACTATTCTTAATTAATCAAGTTGGTTAGAGTACAATAATGAAAGAGGTAAACATGTTAGTATTTCCAAGCCACTCTGCTAAGGAACACTATTTTAAGAGCATGATTAAATTTTTGTGGCGTCTCTCTTTTGCTTACATTCCTTTTTTTCTTTTTACTTTTCTTTCACAAAACCACAACTCTTGCCACATTCTTTATCTTGTAAAGCACATGCCCAACTCTTAAGAACTTCCTCCCACACTCACTTTATTTTCAGCAGAAAACATGCAAAAAACACTATGCAGAACCTCTACGAGTTGCAAAAGGGTGATTTTCATTGTAGACACGAAGAAAGAAAGTTATATGGCTCAAAGGGCCTGACTAAAGGGTATGACAGGATATTTAATTTGGTCACGGCTTAATCCTATGCCTCCGTCATCTTAATTAGTGGCAATCTGAATGCTACACATCATGGTAAGAGGGATCTATCGCGCAAGAAAGAAATGAGAAGGCTCAAATCTTACATGACTACTTATATGCTCTATCTCTCATTCTGATCCCTTAACCTCTATGCTTAAATATCTGTCAGAAATGAGTAGGGATGACAATCGGTTTTCCGGTTATCGGTATAACCGGTTACCAAACCAGTAACCGCTGGTTACCGGTTATACCGATAACCGGAAAACTCGGTTGTCGGATGGAGGAGACGCAGCGCCGGTATACCGCCTCCCCACCCGGTATATACCGACGGTTATCTGGTTAACCGGATACCGTTTGGGAGAGGGGCAAAAAGGCAAAAATGGAGCGCACAAGCCAAAGGGGGTTTGACTAAAACGAATCGAAGGGAAAAAAAACCCTAATGCCCACTTCTCTTCTCCTGCTCCATCGTCTCAGCGCCGAGATTCTTGAAGAGCCGCAGCGAGGCATCGAATTCGCTTCATGCCTTCACCCATCGCCATCTGCCGACTGTCGCCTCGCCTTCTGACCTCCCGACGACACCTCCTTCCACCCTTCCCACTCCCACATACCAAAGTCCCACTTCCCTCTCCGATTCTCCTCCCTCTCCAACTCTGCCTTTTACCCTTTCACCCTTGCCAGACGACGCCTTCCTCTTCCCATGTCGCCGGCGAAGAAGCTTGCCTTCGTCTTCCCCAGTCGCCGCCGGCCCGCCGCTCTGTAAGTTCCCTTCTCTTCCTCTTTCCTTCGTCTTTCTTCTTCCCTGCCCCTCCTGGCCTCCTTGTTTATGTTGGATTGTTGGTTTGGATGAACAAAGGGTAGAGGCAGAGGCAGAGGCGCAGAGCTGTCGAGCTCCTTGAACTCGACCAGCGTCCAGCAGCCAGCCCATAATTGAGATTTGAGAACATCAGTCGCCACTCGCCAGCAGCCAGCATATTTGATCATTCATTCATTTGAATTGGAAGCTAAAGTGAAACAAATTACAAATGTACGACAATACGAGAATTTGATTTTTGAGTTGATAATTAGTTATGTGAAATTGTGAATGGTGTTTGGAGCTTTGAATTAGATAATTAGAATTAGTGATTGAAAGCTTGGAATAGTCAGTAGACACTAGACAGTAGTGTTGTGTAATTGTGATTTGTGTTTGATACTTTGATCATGGAACTTGAATTGAATTAGTGAACTTGAATTGTGAACTAGACATTAGTGTTGTTGATTCTTTTCCCCATCTAGTTATGCATTCATTAATGAGAATATGAGATTATGTTTATATGTTAAGTGTTAACTTACCATTTGTGTTTAGTATGCCTTGAATTGTGCAATGTCAGTCTTGTTTCTTAATGAGATTATTGTATCTCTTTTGTTCTTTCATGGGTGAATCTATTACTGATGGCACTCTAGCTACATTCTTAAAACTTAAATGATTTTGTACTTTTGTTGATTATGTGTCAATTTTCTTGTACTTTTGTAGGACGAAAAAAATCAAAGAAAGCTGGTTCGCTACCTCCTCGTCCTCGAATCTCTTCAAAGAAAGGGAAGGCTTCAACTAGTGCACCTTCCACTACGAAAAATCCACCTCCTCCATCGGCAGCAAATCCACCACCTCCATCTGCAGCAAATCCACCTCCATCTGCAGCAAATTCAGCTACTACTACTGGTGTTGCTGGTGAGGTACCTGGTGTGCAAAAGAAAATAGACAAGGGTAAGAGGAAGAAGACGTCTAAGTGGTGGATCCCTTATGATGAGGTGCTAGTGGATGACTATCCATTTGGAAAATGCAAACGGTGTGGGACGCTGATCAAAGCTCATTCTACCAACAATGACACTACTGGTTTGAAAAACCATCATCTGATGTGCGAGAGGAGGTCGAAGGAATCTAGTGTGCAGTCGGTATTAAACTATCAAGCTAGTGGGACTGGTGAGGTAGGCTCTCTTACTCCGTGGAAGTTTTATCAGAACAAAGCTAGACATGCATTAGCTATCATGATAATCTTGGATGAGCTTCCGTTTCGATTTGTTGAACGGGAAGGATTTAGGAGATTTATGGCAATATCACAGCCTTTGTTTGTGATACCTGGAATGCAAACAATTAGATCTGATTGTTATGTCATTTTTCTGGAGAAGAAAGAGCTGTTGATTGAGTTTTTTTAACTCAAAGTGCAAAGGAAGGATTTCTATCACTACAGATACATGGACTAGTGATAATAACCAGAATTATATGTGTGTGACTGCACATTTTATTGGAGATGATTGGAAACTGCAGAAGAGGATTATTTGTTTTTTTCCCATTACCAGTCATACAGGGAGAGATATTGCAGATACTTTGGCAGCATGTCTATAAGAATGGAAAGTGAAGAATCTGTTTTTCATGATAATGGATAATGCCACTTCCAATGATGTGCTTGTTGATTGTATGAGAAGAAAACTGAAAGGGTGGGGATCGGATTTGCTAGACGGGAAGTATCTACAGTATAGATGTGTGGCACATATAATCAATCTGGTCGTCTCTGATGGTTTGAAAGAGGTTGGAGTTGCTGTGGAGAGGGTAAGGGATTGTGTGAAATGGGTGAAGTCATCACCAGCTCGGAGTGCAAAGTTCAAATCTAGCATCGACTACCCAGAGATTGATGGTAGAAGACTTGTGTCTTTGGATGTGTCCGACTAGGTGGAATTCCACCTATCTGATGTTGGAGTCTGCAGAGAGGTTTGAGAAGGTGTTTTCTCTGATGTATGATAGTCCTACTGATGCTTCCTTTCGAGGCTATGTGGACTCCAAGAAGGTTCTTCCATCTGGAGAAGATTGGAGCAGCATTAGGCGTCTCATGAAGTACCTGAAGTTCTTTTATGATCTTACTCTTCGTGTATCAGGTATGTAATGAACTATCAAATTTTAAAATTCATTTCTTAAAGTTAAAGTTTATGATTTCTCAGTTACATTTTCTTCGTAATTTTTTCTTTGTATCAGGGACATCATATGTCACTGCACATACTTTCTGCAGAGCCATTGTTGATATTCATGAAGTGATTGCTACTTTGAAGAAGGATGCAGATGAACAGATACAAAGAATGGCAGAAAGAATAGAGGCAAAGGTGAGAAAGTATTGGTTTGAGAATGATGCTAATGATGAGGAGGATAACCTTAGAATAAATAGGATAGTTTACATGGCCTGTGTGCTTGATCCAAGGCGTAAACTATACTATTTGACTATGATGTTGGAAGAGATGTATGGAAAGTCAAAAGTGGAAGATTTGGCAGATCAGGTGAAGAAAGAGATGACACTATTGTTCAAGGTCTACAAGGCGAAGTATGCATCTTCACATTCTGATTCTGAAGCTACTACTCAGACTACTTCTAATATTGTGACTAGTTCTGAGTCTTCTGTTATGGGAGGTGCATTTGAAGCTCGGTTCCAGCAGAAGAGAAAGGAGCAACTTAAGAGGGGGGGGGGGGGGGGTAGAGTATCTGGTGAGTTGGAGTCATATTTGAGAGATGTTGGTGATGCTATTAACGAGGAGCTTGATGATCGGAAGTTTGACATTCTGAGTGGCGGTCTCGGAACAATGTTAGATATACCATTCTTGCAGAGATGGTTAGGGATATATTAGCAGTTCCAGTATCCTCTGTTGCCTCGGAGTCCGCTTTCAGTTGTGGAGGTCGAGTTCTTAGTCCTTTCAGATCATCTTTGTGCCCAAACATTGTAGAGGCCTTGATTTGTGTTGAAGATTGGATAAGGTATGAAAGTGGAAAGACTGTAGATGAACTAAATGATAAGGAAGAAGATCAGGAGACAATCGACTTTGAGAATGGTAAGAATTCAATTCATTATTCTTATTTGTATTATTGTATATACTCTTTACTAATAATTAAGCCATTCCATATTTAAATCATTAATATTTGTGTTTTTTGTTTGCACTAGCGGCTAATACTTTCCAAGCTCGAGTGGAAACTGCTACTGAAGTTAGAGCACATAGCTTACCTGATGGGGTTGTTGAGGAGGACAAGGAGGAGGAAGATGACGAGGAGACTGAGAGTGACGATGACGATCCCGAAGTTTCTCTTCTTAGGACTTTGAAGAAGAAAGGATATGCTAATGTTGGTGGTGGGACAACAAGTTCTATCGGAGAAGGAGGAGCATGAGATGCTAGCTAGTTTATGCGTTTATTTATGTTGTGTTATTTGGGTACTTCTAAGATCTATTTTTATTATTAAGTTCGAAGTTTGAACTTGTGTGAATTTAGATTTTGGACATTGTCATTAATCATTATGCGCTTTGGTTGATTGAAAATTATGTTGATTATCGTCCCTTTCAATTTCAATATTTGAAGATACTTAATGAATTTCAGAATTTGAAGTTTGAACTTGTTATAACTTATAAATCATTTATGGTTTGAAAAATGACAATTGTAATGTTATAAATTATAATAACTCTTAATATTGTAGATAAGAGTTAAGTCTTACATTATTGAGTACATAAAATAAAATAAAACAATGAATTTTTTAAAAAATTGCCGAGAGCATGCTGCCTCCCATCCCCCTTCTGCACATGATCGGTTACTGATTACTTACCGGTTAACCGAACCGAAATGTGGTTTTGCTTCCTTGGCTCGGTGTTTCGGTAATATCGGTTTGTAACTGTTAACCGGTTATTCGGTAACCGGTTATTCGGTAATCGGTTAACCGGTTACCAACCGGTATCGGTATTCGGCCGTGGTTTCAAAGCAGTCGGTACACCGTAACCGGTTCGTTTGGTAACCGGTTAACCGTTACCCAACCGGTTACCAGCCCTAGAAATGAGTAATCAATCCAAGTCACAGTTGGTAAGTAAACAGTTGAAAACTGAACCCCTACACATCTCTACTCCACATCTCGATCATCATTATAGGTTGTGTCAATCACAAACAAGTCATTCATGCATCAATGCTAACAAACAATTAATTCACCACACACAATCACAGTTCCAATATGATCATGCAGAAATCTTTACTTAGAGCCCTCAAATCTCAATATTTGGAACAGTGGACTAGGATCCAAGCACACACATACAACCAAACATTCACACACATACATCATGGAACCACCCCCACGCTTAAGCACGACATAATGGAGGAAAGATAAGGAGGGTTGAACAAAGTTATCGGATAAGGTGGTGAACAATGGTGGATGGGACAATAGGTGTGTTCCATGGTAACGAGAGTCGATGGAACCACAAAATGCACATAAAAAATCACAAAGGTTGAGTTATTGACTCTAAAATCAAAGAAAAAACTTACTCAACTGAAGAGAAATAGGGTAAGAAATGCAAACCGATTGGTTGGGTTGCCCCCCAACAAGAACTTCTTTCACATTATGAACAGGACGATGGCTCCTAAGTTTCGTCCACCCTATAACCTCCTTGAAGTTGAGGTTCTCGTCGATGAGGTGGAGTCTCAAGTCACGAGCAAGTGGTGTGGCAGGTGGTGCGGATGGCCCGTGCAATTGATGTAGATGAAGTCTCCACCCTCGAGACCTCTTCTTCTCTTCTTTTATCGTTGTATAGCTCCAAACCATATTGACACGCTAAAACACAACACCAAACTGCGACCAAGTGTAATCGCAGTCCGGAAATGCAGTAACAGGCAAGCTGTAATTGTCAACCCGGGGTCTAGATCTACTGCCTACTCCGTGTATATCTTTTATCTAGCAAACTAGGTCGGGTGATTGTTGATTTAAGTAAAAGCAGTAAGAAAGCAGGATATGGTTCGGTTTTCTAAAGCAAAGGAAGAGTCACTCGGGAATGACTCCCCCTAGCTCCTTAGTTAGGTCTCAGTTGTAATTACTTTTGGTTGCTTTACTGCTGATTATACTGCGGAAGATCCGACAGTAGCTTGGAATCTCTTAAGCTGACC